TGCGTACAGAAGCTAAATATCTCGAAAGTTCAGGTATTTGTTTGTCTCACGCATAAATTTGTGTAAATTATTTATATTTATATTTCTCGATTGTTTTATGTGGTTTTGTGCAAGGGCGTATTCAGTGTTATTATTGATAAAAATGCCGCATCCTAGAAGATCTAATCTTTCCCGGCGGACCCATACGGAATATCGCGAGTCAATTATCTGACGAAGAACGAGAAATCGCCCGAGAAAGGCGCCGCGTTAGTACCCAGTAAAGAAGGGCCTTAATTCGTGCTCTCAAAGAGAGGCAGCCCGTGAAACGGCAACAAGAAATGGTTCAAGGATTGATTTGAATCGAGCAGCGTTTCGATATGATTTGCATTGGTCCAATGGACGTTGTTTGCCAGCATTGTGGCCCATTGAAGTTTGCTGGTGAAACGTGCTGCCCTAGTGGTAAAGTGACATTGCCATTAGTGGTCCCGCCACCAGAGCCAATGCGTTCCCTGCTTTATGGAAAAACACTAGAATCACTAGCGAACACTCAAAACAAAACAAAAATGCCTGTTTCCAAATGACTTCATTTGGGCGGAAATTATTGGAGACGGATATAATCCGACATTTAAGGTAATTTACGTTAAAAATTTTATTTTCTATGATTGTAAAATCAAAAAAAAAAAAAAAAAAAAAAAATTGGAATAATGTAGTTTGTTAGATTTCTGTAAAAAGTGTTTGTAAATCTAACTATAACTAATGCTTTGAATTTAAAGATTCAAGGCCGGATTTGCCATCGCATTGGATCATTGCAACCTATTGAAGATGCACAGCACTAATTCTTGCAAATATTCTTCATGGGCAATATGGAAGAACAACTTGACCGGCGTCAAGAAATCAACACAGCTATGAAAAGACCAATTCCCCTAGATTTGCAGCAAATGCTTCACGCACATGATGCATTGGTCAAGCTGTTCAAGACTGCTTTAGAGCGCATTCCAAGATATGACTAAAAAGTAGTAATCAGAGCAAATAAAAGACCAGCTGGCACACATGAACGCACATTTAATGCTCCAACAATCGATGAAGTGGCAATCGTGATTGTTGGTGAAAGCTTGGAAGCACGCGATATTGTGCTTACACGACGAAGTACTGGGCAACTACAAAGAATATCTGAAACGCACTGTTCATATGACGCTTTACAATACCCTCTGATGTTTTGGCAAGGAAACGATGGATATCACTTTAATATCAAAATGATTAATCCATTGAATGGTAAAATCAATCATTGTTTTCATTTTAACTTTATATAAATTTCATTCTGTTTGCTTTTGGTACACAAAAAAGTTATCACTCTTAATTTAGGAGAGAGTAGCTGTAAAAGTCGTAAACCTACTAGGGGTTCTAAAATACAATTTTTACGATCAACAAATCACAGGGCCAATCTTTGACTATTTGTGGCCTCAATCTAGAAAATGCGTGTTTTTCTCATGGTCAATTGTACGTGGCATGCTCACGTGTTGGCAAACCATCCGCATTATTTGTTCTTGCACCTGACCAAAAAACGAAGAATGTTTACCTCAAGGTGCTTGAATGAAAATCCGATTAATAAATTATTCAGAGTGTATCCCAACCTGAACAACATAGCTTTCAACAATTTTTTACCTAGAAATAATGGAAGGGCAATGCAACGTTTGCCGGGCCAGCTAGTAAATGAATAAATAAAATAAATGTAACTAAGAATAAATAAAATAGAATAAATAATAAAGCATAGAAGGTAATGTAGAATGATGCCCTATATAGCACAGGGACGTGTAAGGGTCAGTATGGCCGTGTCGGAATGATATTATGATACAATAATTACACATAGGCGTGTAAGGGTCAGTATGGCCGTGTCGGAATGATATTATGAGAAATGAATTACACAGGGACGTGTAACTGTCAGTATGGCCGTGTCGTGTCTGTGCGATATTACACTGTTGAAATTGCAATTAGATATCTTGATATCGTGTTAATCGATTGATTTAGTATTATGGTGCAATTAAAGGATGCACTGTCACTAAGAGAGAGACAACAATAGCTGTTGCTGAACGTAGTCCCGGGTGTCGCTGGGTGAGAGCGAGACGGCTAGTCATGTCGTTCGCAGCAGGGTCGCTGTGCTTTCGATGAACAATGATTAGAACTTTCGAGAGTAGAAGAGAAGTCACACTTGGTCAATGACTATTGAACGAGAAAGAGCATTAAAAAGAGTTTAGCGACACACCGGGAATTCGTTATTACGCGCAGCTATGATGGAAAATCAGAATGAGAAACGCAACGCCCCGACATATATATGTAATTTGAATGCAATGATGCAAAGATGATGATCTATCGATGATTTTCCAATTTTAATGGGATCATGCCCTGATTGAAAATTGCACTATATACTCTGGTTGACAGCGTTTTGGCGTGAATGAGTATTCTGCAATCGGTATCGCCCGACTGCAACGTTCTTACTTGTTTACTTTGTGGGGTCGGCCACGCCTTCTTCTGCATGCTCCATACATTTTAACAAAATCATTGATTTCCCATTTTCAATGGGTTCAGGGTATAAAAGCATGGGTCAGTCGAATATGGACAACCCTTTTCGTGCAAATTTATAAAGGAGGCTAAGAGCAATTCAATCAATACGTTTCTAGCCTTAATATTGATTAAATTTTGTATAAAATTTATAAAGTATACATTTAAAATTCGGCGACTCCAGCTTTAAAGATGTGGGATATATAATGATAAAACTGATTTTCGATAAGGTTTTTTATCGATAAAAATAAGCTCGATATCCGCGCTATATATACGGAAATTTAAGTTTCAAGTCTCTAGCTCTTATATCTTCTGAAATCGAGCTGCTCATACATATGGACAGATGGACGGACAGACAGGGCAAAATCGACTCAGCTCGTCACACTGATCAAGAATATATATACTTTGGGGAGTCTGCCACGCCTTCTTCTGACTATTACATGCATTTCAACAAAACCATTATACCCTGACTTCCCATTGGAAATGGGTTCAGGGTATAACAAGTAAGAAAGCTCTAGTCAAGACTCGACTACGAGATCCCCTGAACCCATTGAGCATTAACTATTGCAATAATTTTTCGCGTCTTTCAGCTTACACAAGAAACACGTACACACACTCACACACACACGTACGAACGCAGACACACGCATACATACACACACACGCATACACACACACACACACAGACATACACAAACATTTACACAAACACATACACAAACACATACACACACAAGCATAAACACGCATGGGCTGCAGTGTGCGCTTACTATGAGAACTTAATTGCTTAATAACTTTTTATGTGGTCATACGATCTTCATGAAACTTTCAGATTATGATTATAACATGGATATGCATGTAATTGCCAAAGCACAAGTCTCTAGTATTTGAAATATGCTTTTTACAAAAGTGTGGGTAACTGGCTGGATAAATTTTTAACAAAAGCCGAAATTGCATTAATTGCATATAAGCATACATTAAAAATTTGGAGACTCTAGCAATAAAGGTGTAGAAGATATAATTTTATAACTGGTTTTCGATAAGGTTTTTTATCGATAAAAAAAGATCGGGATGAGTTATCGATTTTTATACCCTGAACCCATTTTCAATGGGAAATCAGGGTATAATGGTTTTGTTGAAATGTATGTAACAGGCAGAAGGAGGCGTGGCAGACCCCACAAAGTATATATATTCTTGATCAGGGCGACGAGCTGAGTTTATTTGGCCCTGTCCGTCTGTCCGTCCGTCCGTCTGTCCGTCTGTCCGTATGTATGAACGCGTCGATTTCAGAAGATATAAGAGCTAGAGACTTCAAATTTTTTTTAAAATGTCCGTAATTACAGCGCGCATATCAAGTTTATCATTAAAAATCGATAACTCGTCCCGATAATTTTTTATCGATAAAAAACCTTATGGAAAACCAGTTATAAAATTATATCTTCTACACCCTTATTGCTAGAGTCTCCAAATTTTTAATGTATGCTTATATGCAATTTATACAATTTCGGTTTTTGTTAAAATTTACCCCCCACCCTAAATTCACCCCCTCACCCTCACTTTTGTAAAAAGCGTATTTCAAATACTAGAGACTTGTGATTTGGCAATTACATGCATATCCATGTTATAATCATAATCTGAAAGTTTCATGAAGATCGTACGTCCACAAAAAGTTATTAAGCAATTAAGTTCTCATAGTAAGCGCTCACTGTCGCCCATGCGTGTGTGTGTGTGTGTGTGTGTATCTGTATGTATGTGTGTGTATGTATGCCTGTGTGTGCGTGCGTGCTTGCGTGTGTGTGTGTGTGTGTGTGTGTGTGTGTGTGTGTGTGTGCGTGTTTCTTGTGTAAGCTGAAAGACGCGAAAAATTATTGAAATAGCTATTACTCCAAGGGTTCAGGGGATCTCGTAGTCGAGTAGTCTCGACTGGAGCTTTCTTACTTGTTAATGATAAACTTGATATTCGCGCTGTAATTACGGACATTTAAAAAAAAAATTGAAGTCTCTAGCTCTTATACCTTCTGAAATCGACGCGTTCATACAGACGGACAGGGCCAAATCGACTCAGCTCGTCGCCCTGATCAAGAATATATATACTTTGTGGGGTCTGCCACGCCTCCTTCTGCCTGTTACATACATTTCAACAAAACCATTATACCCTGATTTCCCATTGAAAATGGGTTCAGGGTATAAAAACAATGAAGTTCGCATAGTAAGCCCACGCTGCAATCAATACGTGTTTGTGCGTACATCTGTGAGGGAGTGCGCTAGTTTGGTCTCTTCTGTGAGCAGAATACAAGCAATTAATTATTAAATAAGTTCCTCGAAGGATTCAGGGGATCGTAAACGAGTAATCTCAACTAGAAGTTTCTTATTTGATATTATAGACATTGCTATATGTTTCTCTTTTGAGTTATAAATAATGTAACTAACAATTATTTTATTTTTCATTCCATTGCTGCAACAAGGGAGAGAAGTATGATGGACGCAAGGCGGATGTTTGGTCATGCGGTGTTATTCTGTATGCTCTGTTGGTGGGAGCATTACCCTTCGACGATGACAACTTGCGTCAGTTGCTTGAAAAAGTAAAACGAGGAGTGTTTCATATTCCGCACTTTGTTCCACCCGATTGCCAAAGTTTACTTCGTGGTATGATTGAGGTTAATCCAGATAGACGATTAACGGTAAGCTATAAGATACAAATGCAGAATATCATATTTTGAATTTGTTCTGTTAACAGGAAGGGTTAAATACAGTTTGACAAGAAACACTTTACACACTAAGAAATTACAATTTTTAACTTTAGATGCAAATATAAATTTATATAATCTAACACATCAAATATAACTGGTACCTCAGTGCTTTCGGAGCAAATTGCCTCGGCAATAAAATGTGTTGTCAGCCACTCACGAAGTTGGATGACGGATAATCATATAAGAGGTTTTTTATAACCTGAACCCATTTTCAATGGGATATCAGGGTATAATGGTTTTATTGAAATGTAGGTAACAGGCAGATGGAAGCGTGGCAGACCCCATAAAGTATATATAATCTTGATCAGGGCGACGAACTGAGTCGAATTGGCCCTGTCTGTCCGTCCGTCCTTCCGTCCGTCCGTATGTATGAACGCGTCGATCTCAGAAGATATAAGAGCTAGGACTTCAAATTTTTTTTCCTAGGTCCATGTATATCACGCGTATATCGAGTTTTTCTATAAATATCGACAACTACTCCCGATATTTTATTATCGATTAAAAACCTTATCGAAAGCTAGTTATTTAACTATGTCTCCTACACCTTTAGACCTAGAGCTTCCAAATTTTAAATGCAGATTTATATGTATTTTATACAATTTCGGTTTTTATTAAAAATTACGCCCCACCCCAATATTCACCTCCTCACCATCACCTTTGTAAAAGGTGTATTTCAAATATACGAGAGGTGTGCTTTAGCAAATACATGTATATTCATGTTCTTATCATAATCTGAAGTTTTCATGAAGATCGTATGTCCACAAAAAAGTTATTAAACAATTAAATTCTCATAATAAGCGCAAACTGCAGCCCATGCGTGTTTATGCGTAGGTGCTTGTGTGTATGTGCGTTTGTATGTGTTTTTTTTTTTATATTTGTTTATTGACAATCTTATTATATTACAAGTTGCAAGTTGAGTGGTGGCCCGTTTAGCGCGCGATGCTTGTGGGACGGCCGTAAAGCATTGCTTCGCATTCACTATGCGCTACCTTAGCCTGGTACAGCTCGTCTTCTTATTCGCTCGACTCTGCGCAGATCCATCATCACTGTGGCCGCGAAGGTGCTTGTTAGTTCCCAAGCTTCCTCCGATTCCAGCATGGCGTTGACTATGTTGTCCGCTCTGATAGAGTGGCCCAGTGCCTCTTCTAGACGACGCCTCTCCTCCAGGAACCGTCCACATAAGAAAAGGATGTGGTTGGCGTCTTCCCCATGCCCTCGCCCGCACCAGGGGCACTCTTCAGTTTTCTCGTGACCAAAGCGCTTCAAATAGCTCCGAAAGCATCCATGGCCCAAGAGGATCTGCGAAAGATAGAAGTTAACCTCGCCGTGTTTGCGGTTAACTCCTGGTTCGAGCTCCGGGATGAGCTTGTGCGTCCACCGCTCTTTATTTGAGCTATTCCACTTCCCTTGCCATCGTGCAATGCTGTTCGCCCTGATAGTGTTGTGTCGCACAGGCACGTGCGAATTCCGCTCCACGGCTTCGGCGACCAGGTACTCCAGTGGCACCATACAAGCTATGACAAGCGCTGCATCATCGGAGATAGTCCTGAAAGCGCAGCTGACTCTGACTGCGCTCAGCCTGTAGATCGCGCAAATGTCCCGGCTGTAGCTCGGCATTGCCATCGCTCTTGACCATATTGGCGCAGCATAGAGGATGACAGACCTAATGCTGTTTAAGTCCCCGCGTGTTAAGTATAATTCTTGAGAGAGCTCTACAAGAATCAGCTGCCTTTTTATGCACATATTCTAGGTGCTCGCGGAGAGTTAATCTTTTGTCTATCATGACACCAAGATATTTTATCGCCCTTTTTTGATGCAATGGGACGCTGCCGATCTTTATATTGGCAGTTTCCACTCTTTTGCGACTGCTAACTAGGACGACTTCGGTTTTGTGTGCCGCAAGCTCGAGCCCAGCTCGTGTCAGCCAGCTTCGTATGCGATTGATACTTTCGCTGCACATATCCTCTGTATCTTAAAGCTCCTTGCCTATGGCGACGACAGCCACATCATCAGCGAAGACAATGGTGTGCGCACCTGCTGGTACTTCCAAGCGTAGTACGCCGTCGTACATGATATTCCATAGGAGAGGCCCCAGTACTTAGCCTTGGGGTACTCCAGGTGACACTGTATGAGTTTGGGGACCCTCTCTCGTATTGTATACCAGTGTTCTTCCTCTGAAGTAGCTCTTTATTATCTCTTTTAGATATTTAGGGATATTATATTGTGACAGCGCACTCAGTATCATATCCCAACTAGCTGTGTTGAAGGCGTTCTTAACGTCCAGGGTCGCGATGATGCAGTATTGCTTCGTCCCGTGCCTCCATCTGGTGCCTTGGATGGCGAAAGTTGCCAGGCCGACAACTTTTTCTAGAGCATCCGTTGTTGACCGGGCCTTCCGGAATCCAAATTGATTTGGTGATAGGCCTCTGGCGCTAGCAATAGAAGTCTCCAGTCTAGAGCAAATCAGTTTCTTGTTTGTCTACCTTTCCCATTGTGTCTAAGAGGCAGATTGGTCTATACGAAGATGGCTCTCTGGTGGTTTGCCAGCCTTGGGTAGCAATACCAGGTTCTGGGTTTTCCATTTTGCATGGAACGTCTCCTGAATTAAACATTCATTGTATAATTCGGCAAACGTACTAGGGTGCAAGGCGAGGGCTAGCTTTAACGCACGATTTGGGATCCCGTCCGGCCCTGGAGCTGTGTTAGTTCTAAGACCTCTGAGAGCTACTAAGATTTCCTCGTCTGTACTAAAACAATTTGAGTGCTCGTTGAGCTCTGATCAACAGCCTTGGACACAGGGGTATGAATGGAGCTTAATCGTTCTGGAAAGAGCGTTTCCACAATTGATTTAGGCTGCACCTGTCTACCTGAGTATAGTCTTTTAACTACTATCTTATATGCCCTGCCCCAAGCGTCATATTCGGCTGAGTCGCACAACTCTAGAAAGCATTCTCATTTGCTTGCCCGAATGGCCTTCTTCAACTGTCTTCTATCTGGTTGGTAAGCTAATTGTTTTTCGAAAAATGTAGACCTACCCCGAGCCCGTTGATAGCTTCTTCTCGCCTGGGTGCATTTGCGTCGAATGTCACCTATTTGTGCATTCAAACAATACGTTGGCTCTTGTTGTCGCGTGAACTGCTTGCGGCGTAACATGCTGCTATTGCAGGCACTCTGTATTTGAGATACCAGTTGGCATGCTCTGGTATCAACATTAACAACTGTTGCCAACGACTGAATGACCGCTGAAAAGGCCGCGGGATCCAAAGTATCCAACTGATACGATTCCCTCCACACGGTTGGCATCCTGGCAGTTGGCTCACCAATTGTGAACAGAAGTGCCGTATGATCGCTGCTCGTATAGCTATCACAGTGGCTCCATGTTGCTTTCCGAGAAAGGGATGAGGTGACAAAATGTCAAACAGATCCGTATCCAGCCCGATTGAAGGTGAACTCGTGGCCAATGTTGAGCAGTGCAACATCCAGTGTCGCGAAAATCTCCAGTAAGATACGGCCTCTGGCATTTGTTGTGTGGCTACCGCATTCTAACGCCCATTAGTTAAAATCTCCTGCTATATTGGCCTTCCGACCCCTTCCATCCTCGGCAAGCTCGTCAAGCAACGTTGTGAATTTACTGAGCTGCATACTGGAGGCCAGGTAGCAGCTGTAGAGCCATAAGTTGACATATCGGCCACGTATGAATGACTTAACATCCGAAAGCACATTCGTTGAGTTGCCGCATACCCACAACACAGCTTTGCCATTGGCGTCTTTTAACCATGTCCTATGGCAGCTGGTCCTACAGTGATGAGGCTCACTGAGAAAAGCTACGTCAATGCATTTTTCTCTTATTTATTTATTTTCTTAAAGCTATTGACAAAAATGAGAGTCAATTTTAATTTAAAAAAGCCTATACAAAGTACACGATATAATTTCAATAGTAACACCAACCCGATGGGGGTATTTTATTTGCCAGTCCGGCCGGCTATGCCCACGTCTCACAGCCAAATATGGTCAGTGATACTATTGAAGCTATGAAAAGAAAGTGTTAGTAAGAAAACTTAAAAAAATAAAATATTAAAATGTAGGTTATTAAACAATATTTAGCATACTTAAAATAATTCTTAAAATAATAATAAAAAATAAAAAAATAATAATAATAATAAAAAAAAATAAAATAAAATAAATAAATAAATAAAAGGAGTTAAAAAAAAAAACAATAATAAAAAAAAGAAAAAAAAGAATAAAATAAGAAGAGATAAAGTATAGAAAAAGAAAATGGCCGGTAATAAGAGAAGTTGCAAGAAAAGTTAATAAAAAGAATAAGAAATAATAAAAAGAAAAGAGTAATGGAAGAGCCAAAAATAGAGTATAAGAATAGAATTGAGAAATCACTAACACAACATTAGCAGCAAAAACGTATGCCAATGCTTATGCCTGGGCATTGTGAGTGATTTCCCTAAGATAAGCTGATAGTACACTTTTTATTTTAGGAGGAGAGAGCTCTAAGGAAAAAACGTGATAATATTTATTAAAATTAACACAAAGAACATGAAACGCACTGTGCAAAGAATAATCCCTAGTGCACACAGGTAAATGAAGCGGACGATAGTGTCTAGTTGATCGGGACGGAACCAAAAAATTTAGACGACCCAACAAAGAGGACGAATCAATATCACCACTAATCAATTTATGCAGAAAAACAATTCCTAAAATTGTTTTGCGATTGTTTAGCGATGGAAGATCAATTAGCTGGAGCCTACTATGATAAGACGGTAATCGTAAATTACTGTCCCATCTAAGGTCTCTTAAGGCAAAGAGAAGAAACTGTTTTTGGACCGATTCGATACGATCCTGATACAGTTTATGTTGCGGAGACCATACGACAGAACAATACTCTAGGATAGGACGCACAAGCGAAGTAAATAAGCGCT